GGCCTGGAGATGTATTTCCTCTCTCCCCTCTCCCAGTGGCCCCGCCAGGGCAGGGTTGAGGACCACTGGTAGGGTGGCATGGAGGAAGCTTGTAGTGCTATTGATGCTGTGTTATACTTGTTCTCTGCGGATAACAGAGTTCACTCACCAGGGCATCTTTCGCCAGCACGACATTTATTTTGTACAGTTAAGACATTTAAAACTCTGATTCTGGATGGGCAGTGGGCAGGGGACCCATCGCAATGGACTCTAGCAACAGATGAAAGATTCGGAGCTGAGCCCTGTTAAAAAGTCACCTGGGACAGTCCCCGTAGTCTCAGTGCCAGGGAAACGCAGGCTCCAGCATTGGCCCACAGCAATAGTCCTGACAGGGCCACTTCTCATGGGCCTTCCCGCCAGCAGCCAGAACCAAGCGCTCCGAAACTCACGAGCCACCAGTCTCCATGGTGAAAGGAGCCAGGCAAGTGTTTAGAAAGGCAACACAGCCAGCAGCGTGGAGCTGAATGGTAATAATCCTCCCCTGATTACAGGCACTCACCTCCTCCTCAGGCTGGTCCACTTACAGCATCTCACACTCTCATCAGTTCACTCATTAACGGTTGACTGATGATATCCTGAATCTCAAATTATGCATCTCCTGCCGGAGCGGGCTAATTGAACCTTTCATGCTAGTGACAGGGAAAGTGCTATCCTTCCGCGGTGATGTTCACCTCTCAGTTACCGAGAGTCACATGCTGGGTTCACAGCTGTATCTCTGCTAGCAGTGCAGAAGTGATATCAGCTCTACAACGAATTGATCCTGATCACTCAATACATGTATTCCTTCCAATGCTGATCTATGGAGAGCACTCAGGTCAAAGGGCGATGGCCTCCTTTTTGTTCCCACCTGCTAAATCACACTAAAAGAAGCTGAAAGTATGTGAAATCCCGTCCCTGTAAGCAATTGCTGTAGTTGCCACAGGGATATTATACCATTGCCAGCAGGGATGGGAGGGGGTCACACACAGCGATTTCCCTATTAAGATGTGGCCCACACAGCGGAAAAATTTGGGAACCCTGGCATTAAGCATTTACTTCTGTGGCACAAAATAATTGAGAGTGGCTGTAAGGTCAGATTTCTTTGTGTGATGTTTTTCCCCCGCTTGCACCCGCCGAGATAGGCACAAGGGATGCTCCCCATTCATCTTGAACGTTAAAGGTGCTGAATAAAAGTGCTGCTAATAATTCATAGCAGGAGTAAGGCAGATTCAGGTTTTGGAGCAGTAAATCAGCGACTGCCTGGAATGCAGCGAGGTGCAGCCCAGGATTGGGATGGGATGGGGGAGTGGAAGAAAAGCAATTGCAAAGTACTTTGCATCTGGTAGGAGATCCTTCCCAAGAGTATGCATGTGGGAAAGGCTATTGAACCAAACATGGTAGGGGAGCAGAAAAGGGAAGTTTAAAAAAAGTGCAGCTAGTTTAAATATCTTCATGAAAGTTGCACAAATAAAAGCTTTCCCTATTGCTGACTGCGTCCTCTTTAGCAACAACACCCTCGAGGAAACTGTTACGTAGCCGAACTCATTACAAAGAGGCAGGGTTTAAAATCACATCTTTGAAAACGTGGGTTCCCATTCTGAGTTCAATCCAGAGTGACTCTACGGACTTCCATTGGGGTTACTCTGGATTGACACTGGGGGAACGGAGAGGAGGATCGGTTCCTAGGTTTCTAATGGAAGTGCTGCCACAGCCATCGGGGACAGCCTCCTTGTCATGGAGCAAATGCTTTTCCATTAAGAACTAGAAGCTTAAAAGGGCCTATGAATATGAGGAGCCGGCGACTGCTTCTCTGGGCAGACACAGCAGGGGTATCCAGCTCTGACTGTTGCTAGCTGAGCTGGATCTGGGAACTGTTTGGAATTCAGAGGTATAGCAAGGGTCATCCGATCTAGTGTTTAGTCTCTTTCCGAGGGCCGAATCCTTCCCCGGAGGAAGCCAGGGGCAAAACTTCCATTGGCAACAGAGTTGTGCCCTTGGTGTGCTCAACTACTGTAGCTGCCAGCAGCGTCTGCTTTATCTGAACGGTATTGTCTGAGTTTTCCCACTCAGAGCTTCGAGGGATTGTTTTCAGAGCGGTAGCCGTGTTAGTCTGCATCAGCAAAAACAACGAGGAGTTCTTGGGGCACCTTAGAGACTAGCAAATTTATTTGGGCATAAGAAACTGCCGAGATCCAGACTGCGGGTTTTAGCTTTATCAAGATATCAAAGGTGTAAATTACACAGTTTAAGGGGAAAAACCAATAACAACGAAACAAAAGTCTGAATGATTTGGGAGGAGCTCTGCAGAAGTGCTGGGCCTCCGAAACAATGCCCAAGTCCCCACAGCATGATATTCCAAAGTGCTAATAAATAATACTTTCATTCCTGTTACGGGAGGCTCTCAGCATGCTTTCCAGGCATAAATCAATTAACCTTTGCAATACCCTGTGAAGAAGGCATTCTTGTCCACGTTTTATAGGTGGGGAAACTGAGACAAAAAGAGGTTAATGTGATTTGCCTAGTGTCGCACAATAAGTCAGTGGAAGAGTTTGGAAGAGAACCCAGGAGTCCTGACTCCCATTATTCAGCTTCAGTCACTAAGTAATGCTGCGTCCCAAAGATCTTAATGAAAATCTTGGGTGTAGGTTGGGCTGAGATCGTCACATCTGATGTCTTCACTCTCTATTTGAACACTTATTCTGTTTCAGTGATAATTATCTTTCTCATTACAATCTCCCTTTTAGATTGGCTAACACCATCTTATTATCGTCCAGGGACTTCTCCCACCTTCAAAGGTTAGGGTCTCAATCTCTCTCTCTCTCTCTCCCCTATCCATTTAGAGTTCTTTGATCTCTTTGTTAAGTCCCTACACAGAAAAGTTTCCGTTTTCTTCTGGGATCCTAAGACAGACATTTGAATATCACGTTGTGCCATGTCGCAAGCGAAAGTCTTGTGAGGGGCTGTTTTAAGAGTGGACTGTGTCTAAATACAAAATGGAGGGTGTTTGTGTGGGATGGATGGGAGACACGGAGGGGTCAGTGGCAGTAAAGAAAATAAATCAAAGCCCTCTCTTTCTCTATCTCCTGTACGATCTATTGTGCTTTATTATGTGTTTGGTGTCATAACAAACTGATGGGCTCTGAATGGCCAGATGGTCACCAGTGTTCTCCACTCCATGCTTCATTGCCTCCTGAAAGCTATGGAGAAAAATGAGATCCCGTCTCACAAACGACTGTCCATCTTGAGAACACATTTTAGAAGGCTCTTTTTGACAATCGTTGTCTTTTATCTCTGTTCTCTGCTTTCAGAAATGGGTTTTGTTCTTTTGTACAGTGGATTCTGCAGCTCATACTCTTATGTGAGCAGTTCTGTTGATTTCATTAGCAAGGGATGCAGGATCGGGCTCCAGGTTAGAATTCATTCCCAGATGTGCTGCAGTTACCGTGTTATGGGTTGGAATT